CAAATGGCAGAGACATTTCTCTTATCTCTATGCTGAGAACAAAAGTACAGTGATTTATCTTTTTGGAATATTATAATGAAAATTAAAAGCTAGTACAGGAATCAAAATTATCTCCATTGCAGGATCAGCATATTTTTCTTAATAAGACTATTTATGTAACTACATTAACTCCCGGGCCGACTCRTTTTCGAAGCGGTTGTGGTAGGTACTTCCACTTCACTATGAGCAGAATATATGACATTTCTAGACTCTCTGATGTCACTCAAATATTGCATCGMGATATTTAACAAAGCATGCAAGTGTCACTAGTCTGTTATACAGAAGCAACTGGCACAGAAGCACTGCCTCTGCACCACTCAAAAGGTTTCTTGCAGTACCATGAACATTAAGTTGAATGGTTTCACTCAGAGATTACAAACCAAGGAAATCAACTCCTCCATCTGCCGGTAAACAGACAGTACTGCTCTAGGCTCCATCGCTAACCTCTGGCACATCACAGCTCTCTGGTTGGACTTAATAGCAGCTGCTAGAACATACTACGTCGTAACGTCTAGTTTGATTACAGCATCRAACTTCAGAGTGTTTTTATAGAGAGCAAAAAACCATCATCTAAACAAAGCTACTCGCATCCAAGAATTTTGCAATACTTCAAAAACATTACACCCTTAATCCCTGAGGTAGATGCTGGTTTTACATGGCTGCACTAAGAAAAGACCTTTGTCTCTTCCCTCCCACCCCAAATATATTCTTTCTGTACAAGAATGAGAACAGGAGGCTTTCACCACCTCATGACGAACGGAAGAGATTTGCTTTCTCAATAGCAGTAGCTATAGGCACTTTCTTTCTGTCACTCCAACATCAGTGATGTTCTGTCTACCCACTTCTGTAGGTGAACACTATAGAGTCCTTTTACAGTACAAAGGTTGCCAGTTTTCTGATCTGTTCCAAGTTTCTGAACTCTAAAGAAAATCTACTATTTTTCATGCACCCATGCTATCCAATTACTATCCCATATCCCAAAACAAATGTAGCACAAACACAAAAAACTGTCGAGGAGATATTCTAAACATTAACACAGGAGGAGCAGACATGGAAACAGCAAAGAAGGAAAGACAGGGAAARAACAGCAAATCCCAGTACTCCTCAGCCAAAACAACAAAAAAAGAATCTTCTATGCSTTGTGCATGCGAGTTGCTACTGTGTGTGATGGGGGTAAAGGGCACTTTTTGAAACAAGTTGCACCTGCTTAAACTGGCAGTAAAACCAGTGAGCTGTTGAGATTCAGTAGTGCCCAGCGCAAACAAAAAGCAACTCTATTCTTCTGGCAAGAGAAAACTCCTTCATTGTGAACACCACACACAGATCAAACATTTATGAATGGGGGGCCGGGGAGGGGAGCAGGAAGAAACTAGCTGAGGGGTTTATATGAAAATAAAGATTTCAGTGGAACATTTATTATTTTCTTTCACAYTGCAATTTATATCCTGTGCCCAGATGAGCTCTCCTCAAGCAATTCTTAGGAAGGAGAACTGTAAGGAAGACTTCTATTCCAACAGCTTCTACAGCAACGGCGAAGCATTACTATAAGGATGTTAAAACACTGCACCGACTACAAAAAAAATCAACAGAAGAGTACTGAAGGAACTTTTGACACATTCACCTGGACTTTATCTATCTATAGGTAACCTGCTGATCCCGATCAGTTTACCTTAACTCTGTATCTGCCTGTTTCTYTATGCACTGTTTGGAAACCTCCTCATCCTTGATACTTGATACAAGCAGTGTGCTTGTTTTGCTCCAAAGTGTCATGGAACTCCGTGGAGCCATCACAAGATGTTCTGTGGACGTGCTGTCACAGCATGACTGACATGAGCCTTTAGAGAAAGGCCAGCTGCACCTCTGTGTGCTGCTGCTGCGGCTCCTGAGCRTGGAATGCTGTTAGACACCGACACTGTCCTCACACTGCATCGCTGAGAGCACAAGTGGAAGCTTCTCAGCGGGAAGCCAAGCGGAAGCATGCCACTCTCCAGCTACAGAAAAAGCAGATGCATTTGAAACAGAAAGCTCTTCTAATGCTAAAGTGGAAACCATATAAAGGAGAATAGAATATCACATTTATGCATTTGATATACTTTTCAACTAAGAACTGTAATTTACTGCCTACTGTCTAAGGMTGGCCATATCTCATTTCCCTCTTAAGGATTTGCTTTAGTAAKTCACAGTAGCTCAACAGTTGTAGCTTTATCAGTGGCTGATTACGAATAGTCTTTTAAAAAGTTTTTCCCTTGGCTCTGCAGTCTTTGTTTTATGCTGAAACTTGGCACGAAGCTCAGGCTCCTGACCCACAGCAAGAAGTTAAACAACACAATTTGCTCATTAATTTCTGAAAGGGGCAGGAAGCCTCAGATCCTTCTGGTGAAAGAGGGGAACAGCACTATATATAGCTGAACTTCAAAATCATTCAGAAAGGCTGCATAATCAAGACATCCAGAAATGCAGTCTAAAGCACAGGTAAATCACAGTCTGCAATCAATGTTAATCAGAGATATACCAAAAATGCATGTGGCAAACTGTTCCTGTTTTGTATTATAYGATGTCACATCCCAAAAAATCCCAGATTTTTGGTCAAGACATAACTGCTTATCTAATGTTGACTCCCAGCTATCTGCTCTAACACACATCCTCTATCTTATAGTGAAACAGAAAAAAAATGATTATATTCCTCCAAAAGATGCAAGACAACTGTAGGGAAATAATGCACCTACAAACACGACAGTCTTTTTCACGTGCTAATAGTAGCAGAAAAGAAACCTAAAGAAAAAAATATATTGTGTGCCTTTTGACATTATTGATTCAAATAGCATTGTTACTATTTAGATAGTGACAGTTACTCTTTTTTAAAATAAAGTCTGCGAAATCAAAAATGGAAGAGTATTCTATTGATATGCAGTTACGGAATAAACATGCAAAGAAAAGCTCTAAATCCAATTTGTTCCTTGGCAGAGTAGTTTTGAACAGAATGAAGAGTCCTGGTTGCCACCACCCACCTTTCAAAACAAAGCAATATATGTATTAAAAAGAGTATTTAACTGGCACATACGAATGTGTCAGGTTTTATATAATTTGCCTAGGCTGAGAATTAAACCAAAATCTTTGATAAATATATCCCAATTACAGGAGGTTACTTGCCTCAAGGTGGGAGTCATGATTCCTTCCTCTTACTTGAATTTAGACAACTGTGTTCACTCTTCAGCCTCCTGGCCATCTGGAGTGATGGAGGAGGTGTGTACAGATGTGGGCTCAGAGCAGATCGAGCTACTTCGTTGAGCTCATATTTTTGGCAGCCATCAATTTCACCCTCACCCACCAAAACCAATGAAGTTATCAGCACTGTCTCCCTGCTGGTATTTGCTTTGCTTCCTGGATTTTCTAGAGTACTTGTCATCGTACTGAACTTAGCAATATACAGCAATATATTACTGGTTTTAAACTAATATTTTTAGTGACACRGAAATTTTTCAGGCCTTTATAGAGAAACTTAAGACAGAAAAATAAAATCATGGTAAATCAGTAAAATTAGGTAAATCAGCTAAACCCCCAAAGAGGCCAAGTGCTGCCCATAATCATCATTTTCTGTTGAATCATTAGACCTAATCAGGTAGGCATCAAGCCAAGAGATCATGAAGCACGAAGGTGCTGATTTGCTTACTCAGTTTTAGCTCTCTGAAAAGACAACAATCATTCTAAGAATCCATGATTCGAAAAATATGTTCTTCGAGGTGGAAAAGAAGGGAAGAAAAATTCAATTCTTTGGCATCTATGTTTTATCCTCACATTCTGCAGAGCTAATGACCTAAGAGAGTAAAGGGAGAGATTAGACTCGGATGTAGATGAGGAGTAGAAATCCAAGTTTTCTAAGGATCAGCATCACACATGTTTATAAAACAACTCCAGCAGAGCTCTGCGATTATATCCGAGATCTCACTGCCAACCTAGCCAAGTCAGAAGTCTGTGACGCAACCACGGTGAGTCCAAGCTTCATTCGAGTCAGAATCCAGACCTCTGGACATCACCTGGACCAACCCCCAAGTAGCCTTACGTCCTGCCGCTTGCCCAGGGCTTTGTGCCGCTGGCCGGCCCGCGCACTGTGCCCGGCGCAGCCCGCCGTTCCACTGGCCTTTTTCACCACGACGGTGCATTGCTGGCTCACCTTCCATTTGTCCACCAACAAGTTGCCCACTACCAAGAGACTGTTCTTCCCAATTGCATGTTCAAACATTTAATTTTTCAATAGTAGATAAACAGCAGCAAAGTGGATGCACAAGAAGAATGTGAAGCAGCAAAATTTATTGTGATAACCAGACATGCCCCAATTCCATTTTATTTTTTAAGCATACAATTAAGTGTAATTTTATTTCCCTATGTAGATATTACTTGGAAGAGAAACACTGCTGTAAGAGCTGTGTATTACTGGTACACAAACCTTACGACAGATAAATTAGAGCCTAGTAAAACAGCATGTAATTTACATTTTGTTATGTCAATCACAAGTAGCATCTTGAGGCTCTTAAATAATATGCCAAACCACAACATGAAAGAACTGCTTTAAATCAACCCATTCAGCAAGATCACTTAAGTTTCCATAATCCAAGAGATCTCACAAAATGAGTTAGCAACTTGATTTCATAAGACTAATCCTCTTCAACATCCATTCACAGCTTTAATTTCTCTGCAAGTTACAAAATCACTTTACTACAAAAGAGAAATTATATTTTGCATAGCTGCAGAATAATCAATGAAATAAAACAATGAGGCCATGGGTTTTAATAATCCATGACCTTTATTACTTGAGAAACCAATCAGCAACCGTGCAGATGGTCCAGTAACAGCAGCCCCACTCAGCTGCATGGAAAATCCACATACAAGATTAGTCTCAGAATTCGCGGCTTTAGCTAGCAGAGAATGAGGGAAAGAGCAGCCCAGTACCATGCTTTACATACCTCTCAGTAACAGCAGAACAAATGACATACTCGGAATTTTTTCTTAGGTTTCTCCTATAACSAGCACCTTGTCTACATTCCTGTACTGCATAGGAAATTAAAAGAAAGGTCAGTATACGCATTGCAAAGCAGAAGTATGAATACAAGGCAACAGACCAAGATGAAGTGGGGCCTAAGAATTCTCTCAGTTCTCTTTCCTTCCATGATGTTTGGAATAAGACAAACAAAAGCACAAGGTAATTTAGCTATAAAATACAGTCCAAAAATCCAAATGCAAAAAGCTTATGTTAACTAGACCATATAATTCAAAATATTCCTATGCATGCTTTTTTCTTAAGAGGACATTAATTGGAAGTTTTTCAAGAAAGTTAAAGGAGACGCTCCCTGCAAGTTTACACGGTATATGACATTTTATCTGTTTTCTGTTATCGTTATTCAGTGAAAGACTTGCACATAAGAAAGAAAAACTACAGAAGTACCAAGACGGTACAACAGAAAATAAAAAGTCTCTCATCTTGTAGTTAGTGTTAATTGATGCTTTTAACAAATAAGTAAACATTTGAGGACACCTTTTGCTTGTTTCCTTAACTATGAAATACAAATTTTGTCTTTGTTAAAAGCACACTATAAGTACAATAAACATACTGAAATGTAAACTATGATTTCTAGAAGAATTTTAAAAATTYTTTGAATTTCACTTCTATTTTAATTCTGTAACCACAGTTTTCACATTGCTTTTTTTCCCTTTAATTTCATAATTGCTTCATGCACAGTCCGAATTACTTGCTAATATTGCTCAGTTCATAGCAAGTCCAGGACACTATCAGTCAAGGGCTCYTCTTGTGCAGGTTACAACAAAAAAGCCCTCCCTCGCCTACCTCAAGGCAAAGGAAGTTACAGAGATGAAAACCTCCCGCTGCAGCGTTTTGTTGGCATGGCCACACTCATCCCAAAGCCCAGCTCGCCTCAGCGCCGGTTACCCGAGGAACGATGCAGACAGCGCCGCAGCGATCCAGCCTGCCCCGCACGTTGCGGAACACCTCTGGGTCACTTGCCGAGGCTGCTCCCGGCCCATCCCAGGCAGAGATGCTCAAACAGCAGCCTCCTATCTGYGCTCAGACACTGCGGCCACTTTGAGGTGTGCACATCCCCACGGCCAAGGACAGGACTGCAAACCTCTGCTGAATGTTTTCACAGATACGTCAGTGAGCACGCTCACAGTAACTTTCTACATGCTCATAAGCTTGTTAACCAGCCAGGGCTATTTCCTTCTCCCCTTTTTCCTGCCATGGACGTGCTCTTCAAAGAGCTCTATTTACATGCCAAGTTTCAAAGTTCAGCTGCTTCCAGCTGAACTTCCATTCTGTGGAAAAAGTGGAGCCTTTATGATTCTACAGTAAGGCTTTTTCACAACATGAACCAGCTTGGATTAGTTCACCCCTCCCTTTCCCCATTTCCAAACAGGATTCACTTTTCAGGCGAGAGAAAGTACAAGAAAAAAAAACAACAAAAAAACAGTCCCATCCCACCACAGACCTTGGAGGAACGTAAACTGAGGGCATTCAAAACAAAAGAGCCTTGTAACCTTAAGCATCACATTACTGAATGAAAATTCACAGAAACAAGATTCAGCCTTAGTCAGGAGCAAGGCTTCCCCAAATCCACCTATTCAAAGTTTAAACATGTCTCTGTTGTTTGGGAAGGTTTTGCCTTTTGCTTTCATCCACTTCTCTCCCGCATGGCCCTCTATCCTTTGCTTAGCTAGGTCAAGACTCTTTGCTTTAACCATCTGCCTATCTGTGCTGCTGTCTTCTTTGCATCTTTTTATTGGCATACACTTTCTTCCCCTTTGCTCCTATACCTTTGTTACAAGGCCAACTGTCTGGAATTCCTTCTTCCAACCAAATCYATGCAGCTGGATTAGGCCGCCCCTTCACACCTGGGGCTCCCCAGACCTGCCCAGTGCTGTGAGATAGACTTTTCCTCCCGTTCCTCCCATGGATTAAGCCCGTGTTTCTATCTCATGCTTAGCCTCCTTGCAGCAAGGGCCAGTTTCATCAGCATCTATTTTGTGAAGAGATTACAATATTGTCAATGGTTCAATAATAACCATTAGTGGGAATGAATAGCCTATGCAAATATAATCCCTTCAGAAAAACAGGGCTGAGAAAATCTGCAGGGACCAAAGATTCTGCCAGCAATGCCAAAATAGCACTAGGCTTACACGATCAATGACATGATTATTAGAAACAGAACACTGAAGATATTAAAACCTTACTATTAGTAATCTTTTCCTATTCTTTTTCCTATCTCTCCTTTCATTCAACTGCAGCACGGAGCACGTGAAAAGCATTGGAAAGTTTTGGACAGAAACAAATGACACTTGCCAAAAACTTTCACAGACAAATCCAACTTTCAGAAATGACCAAGAAATCCGTGGAATCTAGAGCCAGCACCGAGCTGCTGACATGGCTTTTCTTTTCCTTTTCACACTGGCAAGAAATAACTGCAACCATCCTTTAGCCATCTAGGACCCAGAGGTTTTAAATGCTTAAAAAAGACTCTTGATTTTTAGAGACTAGGAGCAACCACCTTGCAGAGAAAACAAAGGAACAGAGCAATATAATCAAAATAGAGACATTGACGGGCCCTCCTTCCCTTCCCTTTCCCAAAAGCTTTTATATTTCATGTTTTTAAGGCATTTTTCCCTCCTCAGGTATAGGCAGCACTTTTCATCTTCCTTCCTTCCTCTTGGCAAACATCAGGCCTGCTGCCTCCACAATTGCTTCCTTTGGGTCTCTCTTAAATGATTATCACATCTTAAAAAAATATAAACAAAGTAACCCCCAAATTTGCAAGCAGTCCTTCTTCCTCCTTTCTTTGCTGTAATGCCAAATTATTCTGCATGAAYGAAGGAAATGAGTTTGATTTTGTCTTCATCCTGCAAGGCCCAATTGTAAAAATGCACTACAATACAGAATTGTGTAAGCACCGCCATTTTAAATTAATTTAAAGTTCTGCAAATCTTTTTTTGGGACTACRGATTTGAAACAGCTTATTTTTCTGGAAACAATATCTACTTGAGTCTTTTTTTTACATTAAACGCATGTAAAAACTATAGTCTTCTTCAAAATAGGCAACTTCCACCTTATAGGTTGCGTTAATAAACTATAGCATTATAGTTACCAAAAAATTCAGACATGTCCAGGACTCCACCATTTTACAGATTTTTCATATGCTGTTTTCTGTGCCCAAATTATCGGAACGCAGACTCCTTGGAGCAGGACATTTTCTTCTTACTTTCTGTAAATTGCGCGGCACCATTTTCAGGGCCATGTAAATAAATAATAAGACATTTAGCTACATAATGCACATTTCTATTTTTACCCAAAACTCAAGTTTTGCCCTTCCGAGTCCTCCTGCCTCCTCAACCGCCTCTTTGAGGATCCCGCGGCCACAGAAAGCAGCAGGTCAGCGACCGCCAGAACCCGGAACGATGCAAATACTCCGGTAAGAAGAAAAGATACCCAAAGGCTGAAGTTGTTTTCGGGGGTGGCCTGGGAGGCGCCGGGGCCTCCGGGCAGCGCGGCGGGGCCGACCCGCGGCCGTCGCGGTGCGGGACGGCGGGTGGGAGCCCGCAGCCGGCTGGGATGCGGCGGGCGCGGCCGCCCCGCCGCGCGCGGCCACCTGCGCCGCTCACAGGTAGCGGCTCCGCGCGCGGGCGGCCGCGGGGGGACGGAGAGGAGGGGGGGGGGGCCGCTCCCCGCAACGGCCGCTGCAGGGAGCGGTTCCCCCCTCCTTTCTCTCCGCTCGCCCCCTCCCGCAGCCTAACGGCTCTAACGGCCGTCCCCAACGGCAGCCCCCCGCGCCCCCCCCCGCGGCGCGTCCTGCCCTTGCTCCTTCCCGCAGTGCCCGGTGCAGTGGGAGGAGCGGCGGCCGCTGCCTCCCTCCCCGGCCGCCCCGGCCCCGCGGGGGCGCGCGGGGAGCCCTCCCGCTCCCGCCGCCGCTTACCCCGCTGGCCGGCGGCCCCGGCGCAGCCCCCCCGGCCCCGGCGCGGCCCCGCGGCCCCGGCAGCTCCTCCAGCTCCGCAGCGGCGAGCGGGGCTGCGGCACGTGACGGCGCCCGGCGCGCCCATAGGCTGCGGCTGCCGGGCAACGTGAGCCCGCCCCTTCCCTGCACCTGAGACGGAGCCTTACGCCAAATGCGTAAGGGGAAGGGGGGATGCCGGGAGGCTGCGCCAATTGCGGAGCCGGTCGTTTCCTCCCTGCTCGCGGCCGACGCCGCCTTACGGAATCAGCGTAAGGCCGCTCGGCTCTGCCCGTCGCGTTTCCTACCTGGGACTGGGCAGGTCACCGCGCCTGGCGTAAACTGCGCGGTCTCCCCGCGGGAGAGCGTTTCCTGCGGCGCAGGGAGCGTCGCGCCCTGCGCGGGTAGGAGGCCGAGGCCGCACCTACGGACGTCACTTACGTAAACCCGTCCGCGAGGTTAGTCCTCCTTGCGAATTCTGCGTAGCGCTGCCCGCCGCACCTGGGAGCGCGTCCCCGCGCAAACGCCGTGGGCGGCGGGCGCGCGGCGGCAGGTGCGTGAGGCGGCGGGGCGCGCAGCGGCGCCGCGCACCTGGCAGCGCCGCTTCGCCCGCGAGGCGCGGCTCCTGCCGCACCGCTTCCTCGGCGGTTGCCTGCGACGAGGTGACTTCGAGGGCSTGCAGGGCCGCGCGGCGGTTTGGGCTTCGTCAGCAGCGCGGGRAGCAGCTGGCTCCATTTTTCTTCCTCTCCCCCCCCGCACAGATAGAGGCAAAAATCGACCGGAGCCTCGTGTTGGCGTTAACTTCCCACTCCCTTGTGGTAATTYTCCCTCATCCCTGGATTGCAGCGGGCCCTGTCTGCCACGGGCACTGCTCTTAGGCTGGAGAGAGCGCAGAGTAACGTGCTCAAAACTCTGGAGAAGGGTTAACTTGCCAAAACCTTTAAGTATGAGCTGGGAGGGTTCATTCTGGGGCTTCTGTTGCTTTCCTYTATATATAATTTGCATATCTCTTACGAAAACTTTTATGATTTTGTCTCAGCATCCAGTGCCTCAGGATCCTTAAATCTGAGTTTGAGGATATTTGACCGTTAATTTGTTGAAAAAATATTTTTTTAAATTTATCCTTTAAGACTTGGCATGCGCRGGTCAGTGTAAGTGATGAAGGTTTCCAGAGCTTGTTGTCAGAGGAGTTCAGAATTTCTGTCCAATATTTAGTTTAAGGGCCTTTTTAAACTCAGCTTTCAGTGTATGAGCCCATGGCAATCTCTTACATCTTTTCCCACTTTCAAAAACAGTTTTGTATAAAGACCAGAGACAGTTGCTCCATGCCAAGATAATCAGTGAGCATTATGTTGTGCTCAAGGGGGCCCAAAGGCCCTCGGATCCAGAGAGCTGAGCGCTGAACTGATGCAGTAGCTTTCCTCCAAAAGAGCAATTTGCAGCATTCAGAGTGGAACCAAAAGCACCTGTGTGTGACTGACTGTGCAACAAGAGCTCCAGCTTGTTGAAACAGGGCTTGCRGTTTGCCTGCTTCTCACGAGGCTGCGCCTAAAACGCGCACGTTGTTCTACGTGGTCACATACAGCTCTGCTTCTGTAACAAACATGGTGTTTAAGGAGGGACGTCACAAAATGGGTTAAAAGGAGAAACAAATCTAAGGAATCTCATTTCTTCTTTCCTGCCAAATGTAGAATTAAGATTTTCCAAAACAATCAAGAGCTTACCTGAATCACCTGTGTTCCCTTAAAAATCAGGCCTTTTCTAGAGAAGGGACRAGAAAATGCTTGCAGGAAAAGCAAGGACTGGTCTAAGCCCTTGTGAAGAGAGGATGTTTTAGTTTATCTCAAATAAAGATAAAATGTAAAAGTAGGCCAGAGGAAAGATGCTGGAGGAATGGGAAGAGATGACTCCGCAAGGGGGCTGGAAATGCAGCAAGGAGAAAAGAAAAATCTGCAGGAGACAGCATCTCGGAGAGTGAAGCTTTTACAGAGGCAGAAGAAAGATATTTTCAGCAGAGGTCTGGGCTGTGTGTTTTATGAAATCCTGCTTCTTTTGAGTTTTCCCTGGGGCTAGTAATTTGCCAAGGGCAAAAACACAGAGGAAAGGGGACTGGTGGGTTAATTTAGARTACAGGGGATTGGAAGAGTTCTGATATTACAACAATACAAGGATATGAATTTAACAGGAACATCTGAGATTTGGGAAGAAAAAGTTGGTGCATATCAACTTTTTTGGCTTTATGGAATAAAAAGGAGAAAATATGAGTTTATAGTTGTAAATATGCTCAATAAGTGGTGGGGAACTGAATTGTGAAATTGGAATTAGAATTACTTTGATACGAGCTAAAAGTTATTATGATTATAATGTGCTTTTTGTTTCTCTTTGGACAAAATACAGGCATAGAAAGATTATGTATAGTTTTGTGTGTGTGTGTATGTGTGAGTGTATATATAAAAAGCTGTGATAGGAATGATGTCTGTTTTGCAGCCATTCTTTTATGTAGAACTATTTATGACTTTGTGCTGTGTKCTTGAATCCTCTCAGTGTGCCAGAGACAACTGAGGAAAGCACTGAGGAAACGAGACTTCCAAGATGCAGCAGCCGAGCTGGATGATGCACCTTGTGTGAGGTAAGGCGCCACACCAGCAGCGTAGCTGGCATCAGAGTTCCCAAGCCTGCGCTCCGTGCAGTGAACTCTCCTCCAAGCAGAAACATGAGCACAAACAAGTCTGAATGTTGGGAGTGGGTTTGAAAATATAAGGTGTGTTTTGCTAGCATCTACTCTGGATTTCTTCTGAAAAGACATTGACGATTTAAATGTACCCTGGTAAAGTATATATCCATTCAGGGAAAGGGAAAGTGGAAAGGAAAGTCACTGTTAACTTCTGAATACTTCTTAGTTGCTTGTTCAGTCTCTTTCTGTCTCCTGACTGGTCAGATTCTCAAGGTTATGTAGGCCTATTTTTAACTACTGCGTAGGTTGTATGGTATAGCAAGTACAGGACAGGAATCTTACCAATCATAGGAGGAGAGTATACAAATGTAAGACATTAATACTGAGAAAACTTGTATTAAGTAATTGATATTTCTGGAGAGTATTTCTCTGGAGAGTATTTCACAACAAGGATAAAATTCTTAAATAAATCACTTCCAGTAGTGATTTTACTACTTAGAAGTCTCTTACATGGTTATACTGTATCCTGTGCATCTGATGAAAACATTTTGCTACCACTATTAAATGAAAAAGAGAAACAATGCTGAAGCTGGTGTATACGACCAACATGTGAAAACAATTTGCAGGTGTTCTGTGGAGGAGGGGAAAACCCTCAAAAAAAAATGAGGAAGGCTTTACAAAAAGTTACTGATAGTCACTGGTTTTATGCTTGAGAGCAATGAAGCGGACACTGAAGCCTGCAGTGAGGCAGCCCCTCGGGACCGCATGCTTGGATGGTACAGCAGCACCTACAAATGCTACAGTGGGAACTAAATGGCTATTAGCTGTAATAAAGGGAAAATCCTAAGTGAGCAAGGATAAAATGTAGCGTATCAAATTTCAGCTGTTTAGTGTTGTTTATAGACAAATGGGAATGTTCTCATGGTGCTGGAGGGAAGAGCTATTTTCCTCTTGTTATAACTCAAAAAAAGAAATCTCTGTTCAAGAAGTATCCATTGTCCAGTGACCCAGTTCTTTACAGGTTTCAAATTCTGCCTTTAGACATACATACTAAAGTTAATGGGATTTGTGCAAAGGTATCCGAGGACAGACTTTGAATAGGAGCACCGAAAGGAAAAAAGAAAGTGGTATGAGACATGTATTTTACAAATCTTTCCGAAAGAGCTATATTCAAATGTGAGATTAGTCTCATAGWGCTCGTGAGAACGAGATAATAACAAGAATTCAGAGAATTTTAAAAGGGAGTAGAGTTTACAAAACAAAAAGATATTTTTACACCTTTCTAATCAAGGCCCTATAAAAATAAATATTTGTATGTACTTTAATTACAGTGCTATTGATCACATGTTTAATGTGATTGTTTGCATGCTTTGAAGCTTGGCAAGTGCTTGAGTGTTTTCCACAGCAGAGGCTTGGATTTTGAGGGGTGATAAGCRACGATAATGTTTTGCAAATGTGAAGTGTTTTGAAGCAAATATTGAAATATGAGRATGCAACTCATCTGTAATGATGAGAGTGAAGTTGAAAACAATTCCATGCCAAAAATAATAATAATAAAAAGAAAATCCGGAGCCACTCTTCTCTCTAGCTACATTTGCTTGGTTGGTTATTTATTTTTAACTTTTGAGAAAATTCCCTAGTAAAAATTAGGAAAGTAGAATGCCAAAGGATACAGGAAAAAGTGGAAAGTTGTGAGGTCATCTGCCTTCTGTAGAAAAAAGGCATAGAGAGCAGAAGGTGAAAGTTAAGAGTTATAATCTAAGCAGCATAAAAATAGATAGAGAGGGGATTAAAGCTGCATTCAGAAAGAGTAAGCATGTACCAAAAAAATCGTTTAACTTTGCAGGGTGACTGTGCAAGTAGTAAAACCTAGAGGCACTAAAAATGTGTCTGTAAAACTTCATTTAAATCAAAGGCCAGATAACTGAGTAGTGAATTGCAGAGAGTGGACTGGGGGTAGGGTAGGGAAGTCAGCAGTGAAAACTTGCCAAGGTTAGATTGAATTTTTCTTCAGGATGTTTTTTTCAGGATGTGGAGAGAGGAGTCAGGGTGACGAATGAGAAAGAGAGAGATGGTATCAGCCCTAGGAGAGTCTTTACAAGGATGAGCATTGCGCCTGATAGGTGTAACTGTGTGTGGCCCTGTATGGCTATTCGTGTTCTGAAGGCGTATCCACGCGTTTGTGCTGGGGCTTAGGTGTGGGTTCTCGCCACGTTGCGGGGTTGTAAGTATCACTGTATTTTACTTCAATGTGGGCTCTGTCTTTTCTAGTGAGGGTACTGCACAAGTTGATTAGGGGGGCTTGTGTTTCGGTAGTTCTCACATGCCATCTCCAAGTTTGTTGAGCTTCCCACTTTTGTCCTAGCTGTCAGAATCTACCTTCTGGTTTATGTCTACACCTGATCACAGCTTGCAGAGCTTCATCGTATATTCTGCTTTCATTTTTGTTTGGCCCACAGCTAATAACTGCTTAATCTGTGGCATGATGCAACAAAGAGCTTTGTTTGGAAAAAAAAAATGCTTTTAAGATCTGTATTTGTTTAAGAGAGGAGAAAAGAGGAGAAAAAAAAAAAATCATGGATATCAAGTGGATATCAAGCAGATGATTGTGTAAAGGTAAAGGGTACTTAATCTAGAACCTGTGCTGCAAAACAAGGATGATGAGCACAAGTTGGCAGATCTGTGTGCCCTATTCAGTGTTCGCATCCGAGAGGATCCTTGCTAATACTTTGCCGCATGTGAACGAATGTTGTTTTGAATGTGAACGAATGTTTGTCTTTAGACTAGAAGCAAAAGAGAGAAAATGGGATAGGGGAAACTCGGGCACTGAGGAGGAGGAATCATACCCTGAAATGCACTGCAGTGCTTGCCAGGCCCTAGAGCAGGCTCTGTAGGGTAGCATTCCAGAGATCTATTTAGAGATAGGATGAGGATTAGCTTGAAAAGCTTGCAAAACTGGATCCAGGTAAGTGGGAGAAACTTTCAGGTTGTGAGTGATGCAGTTACTAGARATTCTGCATGCACTGAGGAGGACTTAGCTTCAGCTGAGAACAGGAGTTACACCATGTGTGATTGAACCCAAGTAGGGCTGCAATTTTAGAAGTGCAATTTACAGCCATTTAGAGTTATTTACAGTTTTATATCAGTTATTAAGAAAACAAGAGGCCTGGGCTTAAAAAAAAAAAATTAAAAAGCACATTTCAACATGTGTTCCTCTGCTTGTCAATCTTTATAAAGCTGGTAAAATGCAGTGATGTGTATTAAAACATTGTCTCAGACACCCTATCTTCTAAATTCCAGTATTCAGAGGAAAAAACACTTCTTGGGTTGGGATTTTGTTGAGATCTGTTCCAGTGATGCCTCCTTCCTTGTAAGGATAGAAGTGGTGTAGTTAGGACTTATGCATTACTGAGATTGGAGGCATAGTGAACCAAATGAGAAATCGGCTGTTTATTCCATCCTATGAATAGGATCTGGTATATGTGATGAAAATTTTTGTGTGTACCCGTGACAAGTAGCCAAATATTTCTGGGAATATTTATGTCCTTACTAGAATAATTGGGGAAGTGCGTGACTAGGCCAGAGAATGGAAGACTGAAGTTTAGTGTAGGTCCTTGGCATGATGTRTTAGTTTTTTTCCATTGCCTTTGAAGTGTAGGATCGAGAACCTGCCATCGTTCTAAAGCAGAAACAGTTTGGGTGGCCTTTTTATAACTAATAATGTAATTAGACAGGACTGTGACTATACTGGAAGGAGGTCTTGTCGTAGAAAAGGTTTTCCAGGTTACGACTAAAAGCAAAATTTCTCTCATCATTCTCAGCCTTTGTACTGCAACYTTATTTTTCTAAATGCTTTTGGCTCGTTTTTAGTGTTTATGCTGCTATCAAAAATAAACCCAGCTTCTATCTCCGCGGGTGTTGTATTTAACATCAACAGTGAATGGGCTTTTTTATTCCTAAATGTTAATTTTCTTTCTGTTTTCAATCTGTTTCTGGTACAAAAAGTTTTTGTTTTTAGTGGTGGGGCTTTTCTGTTCTTTTGTTCTTAACTGCATGTTATTTCCTTTGACATATCCTTTTTTGTCTATAGCAGTCTATGCCTTTTTTGATCAAAGCAGTAGCTGAGTGTCCGTCAATGACCCTGAAGTCTAGAACTTGAGTCAACTTGTGTGGGTGCCGTTGAAAATACAGTGTGTGCGTGTGTGTGAGGGGATGCTTTTGCTAAGATTCCCTTCCATTAATATAAAGTGGAGAACTGTTAGGAATAATAACTGTTGGCTAATAATAAAAAGGTTTAAACCATGGTCAGAGAGCTGCTCTAAAAATATAGCTATAATGAGAATTTTTTGACTTTAGTAAAGTGGGTTTCTGACATTATTAAAATTGTGACAAAGTACTGCAAGCAAAATTCTGTGGCATGTGGAAAATGTACACAAGCTGCAGATTGGGAAGAAATCCTGACCCTGATGAAGTTGATGCAAGTATTTCCTGAACRTATTGGTCACCCAAGTCCAGTAGCTCAACAAGAGGGCAGAGCAGGGTTTCTTAAGATGCTTATTTATTTCCGTAGATGAATGTCTAGAGTAAACTGCTGTGGTTCAGTGTGATTAAACCCTAGATCTGACAAGTGCATTTTGTCAGGTCCCTTTTTATCCAGCTTCACAGGAGAAGACAGAATTTTAAATGTGGATGGCAAAGGATAAAGACTTCCCTGTTTCCTTGCAGCCCTGCTGCGTTTTGCATCTTGCAGTTAGTAACCAACCTGCGTTTCAGTGCTCCCTCAGGATAACAATCTTCCTGGCTTATGCTGCTTATACTTGTACCCTGAAGCACAGCTGCTCTTCCCAAGGGATGGGCAGAATGCAGTCAACGCGGCTTCTCTGTTCTGCACTCACTAATTGATCTCTGGCTTGGTGACTTCCAGCAAGGTCACAGAATTGGCAGCTGCAAAAACA